TTTTCGACAAGGCACGTATACCATGTCCTTATCAGCACCTGATTAAATTATTTGATTTAACTTTATTTTCAGCTGTACTATGGCTAGCCCGAGTTGGTAATGATAAGGACCTAATCGGGATGGCCTTAGCAAGGCATGCTTTAAGATTGCCCAGTCAGGTCCTTGTGATGTATATCGAGTCAATTTCTAGTCGGGGTAGGACTACATGTCCTGATGAGGGCCTGCTTATATAACTCTATGAAAATCTGCGTTTGTAATTATACTATTTTTCGACAAGGCACGTATACCATGTCCTTATCAACACCTGATTAAATTATTTGATTTAACTTTAGTTTCGGCTGTACTATAATTAGCCTGATTAAGTAATGATAAGGACCTAATCGGAATGGCCTTAGCAGGGCATGCCTTAAGATTACCCGGTCAGGTCCTTGTAATATATCGGGACAATTTCTAGTCGGGCACCTTTATATGTAAATGTACGAGAGAATGCACGGAGAGAATTTCCTTTTAAAATTTACCCTGAAAATCATGTTAATCATAGGACACTATAGTATTTAGGTAAATTTTACTGTGTACTACACTGTGTACAGTAAAATTTATTGTAATGCACAGTAAAATTTTACTGTACACTGTGTATAGTAAAATTTGCCAAAATACTATATTGTCCTATAATTAACATTTTCAGGGTAAATTTTAAAATAAATTTTTTCCGTGTACATATAAAAAGTCTTACTATTTATTTCTTGCTGTTGTTGTTGGTGCTCCTGCTGTGGTTGCCGTTGCTCTTGCTGCTGCCGCCACCGCTGTTCTTCTTCTAATTGCCGTTGTAATTGCTGCACTTGTTGCTGCAATCGGCGCACTTCATCTTGCGTCTCTTCTTCCTCTTGCAGCAACATGCGGTCCGTCGCGTCATTAAAAGTATTATCTTTTTCTGAAATTAGAGCATTTATTATTATGTTTGTTAATATACAAGACATGTAGATTTATTTAAAGCAAATAATATGACATGTGCATGTGTGTATTAACTATTCTTTAAAAGTAAATTAGAAGAATTACTGATTTGCAGTGTATGTCATTTTCCAGTGGCATATTTAGAACTATGATAATCATCAATAAGTATTTCAATGTTTTATATAGTGATAATTTACTGTTTCAAATAGTAAATATCACTGA